GAAAATGAACTTTGTTTCAGCACGCTTTGTTTGGCATCTTTGACAAAGCGCGGTTTCGCTATCATTTGTTGAACGCATAGATCAGCGACTCTTTGCAAATCCTCCTAACTATTGGCTTGCAAAGGTGTCAAATACTCACGCGAGTCACGATTCATCAGGTCCCCTAAACTTTGATCTAGGAACTAGGTCCCCGTTGAAATTCAGGGCGTGGGGTCGAGACAGTCATTTTGTAAAAACTGGCTCTACAAAATGACACTATCTACAAAATGGTGGGTGCAAAAAAAGTACGACAAACCATGAAATACCTACAAAATGCAGCGCTTGAGGTCACTGTATGTCATTGTGTAGAAACATGAAAAATGCACAACATCTACAGAATGATGGGCCCTCCCAGGGAATAAAAAAGATGATATCATTTTGTAGAGTTTGTTGTCTCCCTACTCTCTACTAGATGAGTCCGTTTGTCTACAAATTGATCAAGTCTATTCGGCCTTTCAACTTTACAAAATGTGTTCCTGATGATGTTTGTTTACAAAATGCTCGTGCTCTTTTTCTCCACCTCTCGAATCTGTCTGTCTGCTCATGGTTTTCAATCTCTTGGGGGATCCCCGTTGAAATTTCCTTTCTAAAATGATGGGCCTGGATTCCACTTATATAGGGCTTTCATTTTGTAATCCGCCGACCCCTGCCTAGCTGACGCCTGGGCGGGGCGGCGCCGGGGACACCGCAAGGTGAAACAGTTGCCCAGGCCAAGCAGATCCAGCTAAAATGGCCCCTGGGCCGGGGGGCCGTTTGAACGAAGAGTGTTTACAGCCCGATAGGCATGGTATCTAATGGAATCCAGTAGCAAGACAACGGCATAGGCCTGCATGGCTGTGTATCAAAACCCATCGACCCCCCATAGTTCTCCGGCGTGAACAACTTTTCATTACAGGTTCATGGAGGAGATCAAACTTTCCAACTGAGTGGCCTGGGAGTCCCCTGCAAAGCTCCGTCGGAACCTGTGGGCCCTGGTGAAGGCATGATGGGTTTGGTCCACTAAAATGGCCGTTTGAACGAAGAGTGTTTACAGCCCGATAGGCATGGTATCTAATGGAATCCAGTAGCAAGACAACGGCATAGGCCTGCATGGCTGTGTATCAAAACCCATCGACCCCCCATAGTTCCCCGGGGAGATCAAACTTTCCAACTGAGTGGCCTTACAATAAATTTATGTTGGCCACCTTTAAAATGATGTTACGGCCTTACAAAATGATTCAGATTGCTTACATAATGAATTGTTGCACTACCACATGGCCATTCTATAGTAAACTAATGTTATTACAAAATGGTGGGACCCACCCCCCCTTCTTTCACTACAAAATACTCCGCGCGCCGTAGGCGTCAAACACGCCTGTCTACAAAGTGCTAGGCCGTAACATCATTTTAAACATGGCCAACATAAATTTATTACAAAATGAAAGCCCTATAGTGGCCTCCAGGCCCATCATTTTAGAAAGAAAATTTCAACGGGGATGGAACTAGAATGTTCCAGGGCCATGTTAAGAGAGCATGGACTGGACGCACTTTAGCGTGATGACTCCATAGAAAATCAAAGTTGTGTTTTCTGCTAAGTTTTCCGGCTGCACGTTCGCTTATACAAATGGCAACCCTTTGTCATTTGTTTTGTTTTGCGCCATTGCATTCTTTCAAAACCCTTTTGCGTCTGGGTTCCATCGTCCATGTGTTCTTTGCGCCGGCCTTGCCGCTGCCAGCTACATATTGTTTATCAGTCACATTTTAGATCTTGCGCGTGGCATCTTTTTGGGTTCCTACCCGCCTGCGACAAAGCCGTCCCAAATCCAGGACATGTTGGCTTTGATCTGGGCCAGTCACTCACGCCGGACAATGCTGATGTGGGGTCATTTGAGGTTGTGAAAAAAGGCATGGACTCTCTAAAAAATGTCTCGTATAATAGGGTTATCGGGCTATCGTTTTTCTACTCCTTATCGTTTTCTGGGAATCGGCTTCTAGGAGACAAACCTCATCGTTTTACACAGTCTGTTAAGCGTGGCCAGAGAGCACCTACAAGTGACATGTAGGCTTGGTGGGCGCGACCTTTTCAGTACGGAGATCATGAGATCAGGTGCGTGTGTGTGTGTGTGTGTGTCGGACGTCCGAAGTGCAATGTCAACTCACCAAAACCAACTGCAGCACGCAATGAACTTTTCAATCCACATCGACTGGCCCAACTGGCTTGCTTGTGTGAGGCAAACCGCGGGCGCACGCCCCAACATCATCTCCCTGCAGCACGCATCGGGCGCACGCGCTCCTTTATGGCGACGTCTGGGGCCCCTCAAGTCCAAGCGGCTGGCCCTGAAGATGAAGCTCCGTCGGCCCCGTGTCTGGCCCTGCCGCCTGCCGACAAGGCCTGTCGACGGGAGGCCAGAATGGTTTACACTTTGCGAAATTCAATGCGTTTCTTTTTTCGGGCGGCTGAGGAGCCCATCAGGTGAAAACAATTTCTGTTACGCACGCCCCAATTGCCGCAACAGAAGCTCCAATAGCTCAGTTGGTGGGGTCGCGACATCAACCTACTGAAGGCATGAGAGCTCCAGGCATGGCACCAAAACTGGTGCACAGACCTTTTAGCGAGTGAAAAGAAGCAAAGGGCAAAGGAGCCTTAAGGTGGTGTTGGGTAGATGCTCTAGGGTTGGGGTTAGGGCTAAGCCCAAATCTTTCAGGGTTGAAGACGACTTTTGGCGCGGTATATCTATGCATATGTATACCGACATATGCAGAGATTTTGTTTCTGTAGCTATTTAAACTCAAGTCTATGTTCTCCTGCAAGCTCGACCACCCTGTTTCTCTTGTTTTGCTTGGAAGGCTTGCCTGGAGAAGGCATTGAGTTTTGGTTGCGTTTTTTTGCAAGTGTGGGTTCCCTCCAACAAATGCGGGGGGCAAGCCCCTTGCCTGGAAAAGGCAAACAGAAAAAGCCAAGGTGACATCCCTGTGGCATTCCAAAAGATGAGGAAGAGGTGCCAGAACACATGTGTGGACACTGTTGGAATGGCACCGCCTCTCAACTCGGGTGGCTCACAAAAGCAGCGCCGCTGAAATGGCACCTTCCTCTTTTAATTTTACGCGCGGGTGGCTCACTAAAGGTATGCAAAGCTGAGTGCATTTGGAATGGCTTCCTTCTGAAAAATTTTTCCCTCGGGTAGCTCACAAAAGGCATGCGCTGTTGGAATGGCACCTTCCTCCCCTAAATTCTACCATCGGGTGGCTCACAAAAGGTATGCGGCGTTGAAACTCTTTTTTGGATCACAAAAAGGAATGACCGTTGGAATGGCACCTTCCTCCTGTAAATTTTGACCCGGCCTGGCTCACAAAACGCATGCGCCGTTGGAATGGCACCTCCTCCAAATTTTGCTTTCGGGCGGCGCCCAAAAGGCATCCGCACCGCTGGAATGGCACCTCTACATTTTTCCATCGGGCGGATAGAAACAGGCTTGCAGCTTGCACTGTTGGAATGGCACCTTCCTTCTTTTGCCCAGGGCTCAAAATGCATGCGCCTTTTGCCTGGTACCTCTCCTCTAAATTTTACCCTCAAGTGGCTCACTGAAGTACGCGCGTTGGAGTGGCATCTTCCCCTTCTAAAGAAACTACCCTCGCGTGGTTTCCAAATAAAAGGCATGCGCCGGGATTGGCGCCTCTCTCCTCTAACTTTTACCCTCGGGCGGTGCGCTGTTGGAATGGCACCTCCCTCCTCTAAATTTTACCGCCGGGTGGCGCACAAAAGGCGCGCGCTTTTGGCGTGGCGCCTAATGCCGCTTTCCTCCCGTAAACTGTACCCTCGGGGTGGTTGGAATGGCAGCTTCCTCTTCTAAATTCCACCCGCGTGGCAACAAAAAGGCGTGCGCCGTTGGAATGGCACCTTCCTCCACTAAATTGTACGGCTTATCGCCCCTTTGGTATGGATGAGGGTGCCCAGCATTCAGGTGGGGAGGGCAGGAGAAAGAAAAAATACTGCTTATAACCTTAAAGAACCAGAATGAATATGAACACGCCACGCTTTACCTGCACAGTTCCTGTTTGAAAGCAGCTTGAGAAAGGAAACCATATGGACTCAAAAACAAAAATATGCAGTTACACTTTTCCATCTGAACATTATTTCAAAAAAGCTAAAAGTTTGACTCGGTCAGCACTTTTTGTGTGGAAGCACCGTGCTTCGTTGTTTTGACCTCTTTTCACTGACGGGGAGAGGTGTTACGAAACTCTTGTGAGATATCATCACCAATTCTCTGAACACAGATGTCTCAAAACTTCTACATAAGCTGGGAACCACCAACCCAATGCCCCATTCGGCGTGCCACGGCTGAAAAGCAGCATGTCCGAGACCTCACTGTTCGAGACATTGTCCAAGACCTCTATGTCCGAGACCTGGGTGTCCGAGACGAGGGCACCACATTCCTTGCGCTCAGGCTGCGCGGCAAGAAGGGCAGCATGTCCGACCTCACTCTCCAAGACGCCAATGTCCGAGACCTCACTGTCCAAGACATCCATGTCCGAGACCTCTATATGTCCAACACCGCGCTGTCCCAAGCCGCTGCTCGACAAAAACAATTCCCTTGCACGTGCCATCCATCTGAGACCTCACTGTCGGAGACACCCATGTCCGAAACGCCAATGTCCGCAACATCTATGTCTGACAACGCACTGTCCCAAACCTGTGTGCTCAACAAAACCATTCCCCGTGCTCCTAGCGCGTGCCATCAAATTGCACTGTCCAATGCCCCTAGGTCCGATAAAGCAATGTCCAAGACCCCTATGTCACTAAACTCAAGGGGAGATATTTGACACCAAACAAGGTGGATATTCGACCCCTCGCCCAGAAGACTACTGTAACCGTAACCAACGGTGCAGTATCGGGACCTTATCGAATTTTGCTTCTTATCGGTTTACCAGGGCTCCGCGACCTCTTCCAAAAAAGGCAAATTTTCAGGCACTTCCTGAGTGGAGGGTTTCTTAACTGCTTCATTTGGCGGCTTTGCGGGCGCCAGCTTAACGCCACTTAACAATACTATATGTATGTTCCTTCCACCTGGCTACGTAGCCCTGGGAAGTTACTCAACAGGGTATGACTCCAGAAGAGTCTTCGACCTTTTCAGTTGGCTGCGCACACGCAAGGCCATAAGCCTGCAAATGTAGTTGGAAGAGCTGCGGTCTAAAGAGCGCTGTCAGGTTCATGACCTTCCTAGGCGTGTGGAATTGCAAGGCGCACTCCTGTAAGAAGCTGACAGCCAACTAACGGGCCCGCCTGAAAAGAGGAAAGGCTCGAAAGTCGGCCAGCACTTCTGGCACGCTTTCTTTGCGAGGCCTTAGCTGAAGCTGCAGTGTGCTGATATACTGAGAGAACAAATGAAGAAACGAAACAAACATCTCTGAGCTCCAACAACCCATTTGTTGGATCTCCAATTCACGGATGTTGATGGACCCTGCTAAGCAAGCAAAGAGCTCCACACATCTCCACACTTTACTCCCCTCGTTTTGAGGACTTTGTCTCGCCTTCTCCTTCGACTTGTTCCCAGCCTTTGTCAGCTTCTCGCATTCGTTGCACCATTCATTGCACAGACTTGCCCACGCACATGCATGCATGCAGGCTTGAGGTTCTCGCTGCACAAATCCCAAGGGGCACCAACCGAAAGCCTCGCACCTCAAGCAAGCGGACATCGCAAAGCCTACTTACCCTAGGCGCATTGCCTGTGGTCCAACCCGGATGGTGAGCATTCGATGTGAGGTCAAATTCAGCTATTGGATTGCACGCATGCTGGTTCCACCGTCATGTCAGGACACTGCGATTGGATGAGTTGAGCTTAGGTGCTTAGGGTTGGTCAAGGTGATTTTGTCGGTGTGGTTTTTTGGCAAGACTTCGGGTTGCACCTTGCGCAGTGTAAAGACTGAAACAATATGAAGCAATAGCCTATTTCGGAGGCTATGCCTCAAAGGCAAGCTTCGAGGGTATGTTTGACTTTGACCTAAGTGGAACGTCCCACCTTGTTTAACTCTGGTAAGTTGAACACATAAGTTATAAGCACAAACCTCCAGGTTCTCTGTATAGCATTTCTGATTCATATATGGAGGAACGCTTCCAAATCCTTTCTTCTCCTTGCTCCACGCTTTTGCTCCTCTTCACTTAGGCTTGAGAGGCTTGACCGGACTCGACTTGGACTCATCAAGAGAGCGAAACTGGTGGAGCAGCATCCAGCTGAGAAGAGCAACTACTACTACTACTACTGCTACTACTAGCTGCTTTCATTCTGCTTCCATTTGCTTTCAGTCTGCTTGCATTTGCTTTCATGTTGCTTTCATTCCGCTTTCATTTTAATGAACTACATATCTAGCTAATTTCTGGAGCTTTCTGAGTAGCTTGTGGGCTGAAATCTGTGCCGCTCTGTGCCTGCTGGCTTGCTACGGAGTTCTTCTATAGCCTTGGTCTGTGGACTACTTCTGGCAAATGGTGTGTGGAGGGGGTGGTTCTGGCTACGTCTGAGATGCTCTGGAGGTTGCCTTTCTGGGTGCTGCTGCTGGCGGCATGTCTGAGCCTCTATGTGACTGCTCTGGCTGGACTTGGGCTGCACCTGCTGTGCCTCTGGATGCTGCTGCTGGTCCTTCTGGGTATCCTTCAGCAGCTGAGGAGGCAATCTCTGGCCTGGAATCTGCTTTCTGACTCGCTGCAGGCTGCAGAGTGGTGAAAAAGAGCTTCTGAAGGGCTTCTGGCTGAGCAGTCTTCTGAAGAGGCTCATGTTTCTGAACATGATTGAACATGTTTGAAAGATTTTGTTGAAGGCCCCATGCATATCTGAAGGGCCTGAGCAGTCATTGAAAGGTTTCTGATGAGCTTCTGATGGGTATTTTTTCTGATTCTGAGATTCTGTTGGGTTCTGTGTAATTATTTGAGTTGAAGGGAAGCTGTATGAGCATGCATGGATTCTGTGATGGTGATTCTGTAGTTGCAGAACTATTCAGGATTCTGCTTGTTGATTGATGCTGTAATTGCAGCGCTCTGGGCTCTAGCTCTGCCGTCTGACTTGCTCTGATCTGTCTCTGTCTGTGACCTCTCTGACCATGGATATGACTCTGTCATCTTCTGGTGTGGAGGCTGCCCCCTCTGTGGTGGACAGGGCAACAGGATCTGTACCAAGGCCATCTCTGCTCTGATGATGGAGATCCAGGGGTACAGAACCTCTACGGATGGACGTGGACATGTCCATTCTTCTGAAGGCTCGAGTTTGCTTGTATGCATTGGGTGGTGTGTTTTTTGGGGGCATGGGGTTTAATCATAATCAACTAATGCAATGGGTGTGGGTTGGTTTTCTGATAGGTTGATGATAAGTTTTGCATGGTGTTGGATTAGGTTCTGATCGTCATTTTGTGGTAGGTTATCATAGGTTAATTGGTGATGGGTTGCATGATGTCTGCATGGATTATGGGTGTGTTCTGCTGGGATGTGCTTGTGTTACCAGGCCTGCTTAGGATGGAAGCCTTTCTGGCTGCTGGCCCCTCTGTGCTTTGGTGCTGGATCTGCCCTCTGGCCTGGATGCAGACTGCCTCTGAGTGGCTGCATGAGAGCATGAGATGAGATGAGACACAAAGTGTTGCTAACCATCGTCCACTGAACCATACAGCAACGGTGGACAATGTTCATTGAACTTGGACAAGCAAATAGGTTCTTTGAAGGCTCTCAAGAGCAAATCCATCTGGGCTAAACAAAGCTCCTTGACCATCCTTGAGCCGCGAGTCCATGAGTCCACCCGTACGCTCAAAGCATCGGGTTCACTTGTAGATTAGGGGGCCAAGCTCATATGAAAACGCCGCGTGGCCAATGGATTTTGGGATTTTGCCCTCTGAAGACAAAACCGAACAAAGACATGAATTGATCATCGCTTTCAACTTCAGGCGTTCTCCACAGGCTATGCAGGCTATATTTTTGTCAATGCCTCGAGACTTCAGATTGTGAAGGATCAGGAGGGACATGACACGACAAATGTAACCCCGCTGAGCGGGATGATTCAGAAGACCAAAAAAACACATGAGACCCAAACACATGGGATGCAAAGCGCTGTCTGAGACACAGAACTTGACGGAAATATCCAGAACAAATCTGAAAGGAGGTTCTGCGAGTCTCGGCAAACTCCTAAACATGGCGAAACATGTCCCTCATCTTTAGTTTTCAATTGCCCATATACGCCCCCCCCACCCCAAAAAGCAAGATGCAAAAATGCACAGTGTACAAATCCCAAAATTTATGCTAGTCTTCTGCCTATTGTGTCCACTCGAATTCAACCGTCCAAATCTCATTCTGTCTTGGTCGTTGGCATCCTCTCGCGCCTCAACCTCATGACGTTGACACATCTTTGCAAAGCTTAGGGGCCGGGCTTCAGTCAGTTCAAAGTCTTGGCCGAGGTGCCATGACGAAATCACCCACGTGTAGCAAACAATCCTGTTGTGACTTGATCTGACACGGTCTTCCTATGACAAACCCAAATTCTACAGCAAGGTCTTCAATAAAGGATTCGTTTTGTTTCATTGCTTGGGAGCCTTCTCACGCCAAATAGTTCCAGCCTCTCCGGACAACCAACCACAGCACACAAAGTGCGTTCTTCATCGTTCGACCTTGAGAAAGTGAGTAAAGAGTTGAACACCTTTTTCATCGGGGAGGCACCACGACCTGAGCCGGAGGGCCGGAAGAGCCGAACATCGTGTGTTCAACACTGAATCGAAAACATCCAACCCCAACCCTATACAAATGCAAACTTGCAACACATGCAAAGGCAAAACTACCAGTTTTTGTGGCCGAAACTACGGGACTGGAGTCACCTGCTCACCGAGAACCGAACCATTCGCACACTACCCCATGAATATGACCACAGCATATCGCTGGCCCCAACCTTTCGAGCAGTTTGGGAAGTGTAAGCAGCTTGGACAATACTAGGAGTGAAAGTTTGCGATGTCAAAATTAGTGGACAGTTATGGCACATGATAGCAGATAGCAGCACATGATAGCAGATAGCAACTGTAGCTCAAACACGTTGAGTCTAACGTGGTGCGTTCCTGAATTTCTGCCCGTGGATCTGCCCCAGAAGCTGGTCCAAAGAAGGTGTGGACCTCACCAGACCCACGGCGACCCAAAAACAACTCCGATCACTGCATGCGACTGATTTGGCAAGGTGGCACAGGCAAAGCTAAAGTTTACGAAGTTCCAAATGAAGTTTGGTATTGGAAATCGTTCACTCCAAACATTTGACAAACACGTTGCAAAACTTTGACATGTCCAATACATTGTTGAGCAAGAACAGATGGGTTGGTACAATCCCGGGTCCTTTACCACTGTTTTTTCCTATGTTCCTGGCGTCGGCGCGTGCAAACGGACGTGCGCTCATATGTTTTCTATCAAAGATGCAACTCCTCCTCCTTAACTCCTTCTCCTCCTCTTCCTTCTCCTCGTCCTCCTGCTTGCCTCCCCTTTCCGTCGGGATGCCACGGCGAGTGCCAGCTGAAGCCTGAAGCTGGTCACACACGGGCCCGAACACGATAGGGAACTCTAGACGGTCCCAGGGAACTCCAATCACGCTTGCCATGCTCCTCGTCGTACCTTCTCGGGCTGTCCGCCAATCTCTAAACAAACGGGCCGCAACGCTGACCTCTTTAGTTCCCAGCAAGTGTTCATTCCTTGCTGGTAACACTGTGCCTTCCCCCACGCAGTCGCCCTTGGGATCACATTGCGGCGGTGTGTTCTCCGTACCTTGCTCACTGGAACTTTGAACAAGACAGTCCCTGCAAAAAACGGGCTGCATCTGGCTGACAACCTTTGGCTTGTCCAAGTCTTTCAACCTAGCCCTCAGATCTGTCGCCATCTCCATCCGGGCAGCTTGGGCCGATGACAGGCTGTGTCATCTCTGACCTTGATGCAACAGTTGCAGCATAGGAGCGGGGAAATCTTGAAACTCAAGTTGCTGCGTGTGAGGAATGGCCTGAACATGTCCCTCAAGCATCCGCGACCCCGAACCCGGCCACCACGCAGAAGTGGCTGCCGTTCTCACCCGCAATCTTGTAGTTGACATTCTTCCTGCCAAGCTCTGGCCAGAAATGCGAAACAAAGTAGTTTGAGAGTCTTGGTGCGGCAGCCCCCCCCAAAGCTAGGCATGCAAACGTGCTTACACCCACAGAAGGCTTGAAGTTCAGATGCCAATCAGTCCGGCCTGCTTTGCCAGTTCTCCCGGTGCAGCATCATCACCCACATGTTGTCTGAGTATTTGTCCTAGATGTTACAGGTGTCAGACCAAGGGCCATGCAGCCGCGGAAGTGCCTGGGTTGGAAGAGGTCACCGCGTTGGTGCTGTTGCGCTTGCCTTTGCCACCTAGTTCTCTTCGAGCTTTGTCCCTGCAGTTCGAAGCGCATTCTTCACAGAGGTCGGGAGTGCTTCATCAGCACAGCAATCTTCATGGAGTGTGAATGGCCGCTTCCCATGTCTCCGTGGCCTCAAGGAAGTCCACCTCCTGTCTTATCTCCCTGCTTGTTCTTCTGCTTTTGTACTTCGTTGCTATCTGGGGTCTATGCTGGTAATGTCGTTTTCCTACGAGCTTACTTCTTTTAGTTTCACGCCAAAGCCTAATGTTGAAGCTTGACAAAATCATTTTCTGTACATAGTTCTGAGCTGGGCGACAATTGAAGTCGAAAAACAACTTGGGGAACTGCGAGACGTTTCAATGCTTCCTGGCCACAAGTGAGCTGGATCTCACGCTGACGTGACATGTTATGAGCCCTCACAAATTCTTGATGCCTGTCCAGCTTTTAGACCAGCCTGACATCGACCCATCGACTATTTTTAAAATTTACCATATTCACTTCCGTGCCTCAGAAAGAGAGTCAAACGATGATGGTGAGAACGCATTGATCTTGCAAACGTCGATGCGCGCCCCTGAGCACAGCTGTACTGGCCTTGGCATCACTCAATCCACGCTGTATTCACCTATTTGCAAAAACAGTGGGAAAACAATCATTATATACTATATACATGAAATTATGCATGTGCACAAATGCGAAAATCAGAACCATCATTGCAAGGCCGCCCATCTTTTCGGAAAACCTGACGTGCAATGTCCGGGCGGTTTTGCATCTCTCATGTTGGCAAAATTGCCGCTTTCCTGGCGCCCTTGAAGCCCATAAATCCAGAACTCACCTTGGACAACAAAAACACAACGTAATTGGTAGGTGCAAACAAGCTTCTCAAAGAAGGTGAACCCACCTTGCTTCTTGGCACATTTGTTCTAAAACCTCCAAGATCATTTCAACGGCTCTAAGGGTTCTTGTGGCATCTCGGAAGTCTTTTTCCAGCTTTCCGAAGCCTTCCCGTGTTCAACGATTCCATCCCACAACCAAAACTGTGACATAACCTCTATTTGCTGACTCGAAAAACAGCACGCGTGCCTTAAACCTAAACACAATTATTGGTGCTTCTTCGGAGGATCTTGGCCGTGGCAAACACTATGACCATCTATGTGTTGGTGTTGCTGCTGCGCCTTTATGTACAGTGGTTTCAAGATGTTTCAAGTTGTTTGAGTGGCTTCTGAAAACTGTTGGCTCCCAAAACCTGCCCTATAAGCTGAACACACTCATTTGAATCATTTGAAGAAGTGCTGATGCTGGCAGCCTGTGCCAAATTGAGGCCCGGGCGGTGATGCCCAATATGCCAAAAATAATCAAAAGCGAAGCTGATTGTGGAAATGGCCACCAGTCCTTTGCGACACGTGGGACCAGCATGGGCAAAAGAAGGATATGTTCGAAGGAAAAACCTCCCCAGAATCCCCAGGTGCAAGTTTGAGCCTACAAGAGGAAAACCGCACGTGTAGTTGTACTGACTAATACATACTAATACTATATGCAGAATCCACCGGTTTAGCTGCCTTGGGGTGTGTGTGTGTGTGGGGGGAGTGGGGGATAATAACGTTCTGTTGTTGCATGTGATTTGACTGTGTGGTTGCAGCTTCGGTTCGAATGTCCGGAGACGACGAGGTTGTCTTGGCTTTTGAGTTGCCTTTGTTGATTCGTTTGTCTGGTCCGTTTTTAGTTAAGAACCATCCATAAATTTTTGTTGTAAGCGCCTTTGCTTGAACTGTTTGGTTGAAGTGTGGACGTCTCTGTCTCTGTCTAACATTGTCTAACCCCATCCTGTTGTTTGTTCAGCAAACTGTCGTTTTGGAAGATTGTTGGCCTCTTTCCTTCACATTTACCTTCGCAGGTACCTTTGTTGCGGTCCGTGAGTCCGTGTGGTGCTCCATCTTTCAATTGTGTTTGAGAACCCGAACTCCCGCTTTGTCGCTTTTGTCATCGGCCGCCTGGGTCATGCCTCGTCGGTGTTTGCGAGCTCGTTGGCCGCAAGCCATGGAATCCGTTGCGACAAAGACTGTGCCCAACAGCATTCCGACAAGACCAAGATCAATGTGAAGATCTGGAAGCACGCCGGGGCGTGGCAGTGGCGATGGGAAAATGCAAAGCATGACTCCCTGGCCACACTCACAGCCCACACGCTGTGCACCATGTGGCAAAGACCGAATGGCGTGATGACGCTGATTTTCCTAAATATGAGGTCTCATTGAGATGTCTCACACGCAGATTAAATTTCAAATCACACATGAATTGTGACACCCAATGGAAATGCCATCATGCGGCAGTCTTCGAAGAAGACAAAAACATTGAAAATAGTAACACATACATCCACCCGCCGGGGAGTTTGAGAAGTTTGGCCGTGAGGCTTTGCTTGGCCTGGGCGTGGTCACAGCAACTCCGATAGTCCTTAGGCATTCCTACTGGCGACAGCCTCCAACCTACAAGGGACGGCCTCCAACCTACAAGTGATGGCCTCCAACCTACATGCGATGGCCTCCAACCTGCAAGCGATGGCCTCTAACCTACAAGCGATGACCTCCAACTTACAAGGCTAATACAGCACACTCATACATCCTTGTTCCCGTCTGATCTTTGGCAAAACGTGGGGCTGTTTTTTGCAAGCTGTTGTGGCAATTGTGACGTTGCGAACTGCAATGGTGATATGATCTGTTGCAAAATGTGCTGGCTGCGACTAAATCTTGTCTCGCCGGTGTGGAACTTTATCAATTTATGGTAAACTGATAACGATAATTACTGTGTTTGTACGGTGGCGATACTTGGTCATGTGATGGTTGGTCATGCGTGATGTGACATGTGATGTGGCGACGTGCAGTGACCTCCAGAAAAGGATCCATAACTAAATTATTGACACTCAATACCTGACCGCAGCACTCTCCACCATCCTCAAAACTAACCCTCCCCCCAACAACAACACAAAAAAAACACACTTGGCCAACCCCATCCAACCCCAATGTGGTAAGTTGCATAACCACACTGGCCCCGACTCTAGCTCTAGCCAAACACAACCGACGCTTCACATTTTCCTAGTGTATATAACCTATGTTCAACTGGAGCCGGATCCTCGTTCTGAAGACTCGGGTTGTTCCTGCCTGGGGCAGACCTGTGGTGCTATTCTTCACGTCAGAAAGCCAAAATCACTTCGCAAAAATGCCTTCCGCGTAGCCTACCGGGTGGTTTTCGAGTCGAAATTATCTTGTTGGTACATGTAAAGGTGATGAGCCAGAGCTGAGGGGCAACTGCGTGGGAAAGGATTAGGGTGTTGCTTTGCATAAACCTGAGCTTTGTTGAAATAAGATCAGCTAAGACATGTGGCCTCAGTAGCATTCCCAAACGCAGGTGAGTTGAGAAAACACGTCAACTTCACTCAGCCAGACCTGAGGAGGAAGAAACGAAAACCAGGGCAACCACGCAGGGGACTTTGTCCGCGCGCGGCAATGGTCGCGTGGAGATGGCTGAAGGCTGGTTCGATGTGTGTATGTATGTATACATGTATGTATGTACGTATGAAAGTATGTATGTATGTATGTATGCATGTATGTATGTATGTTTATGTATGTATGTATGTATGTATGTATGATTATGTATGTATGATTATGTTTGTATGATTATGTATGTATGTATGTATGTACATATGTACATATGTACGTTGCCACTCTTCCGAGTGGGACGCCCTTCACTGCTGTGGTGGACATGGTGCCAAAGACCCTGGTCTTCCTTTTGGATCTCCTGCTTGGACTGCTGTCGCCACTACTGCCGGCACTTGGCTTTTGATGTTGGTTCATTTGAGGAACACGCAAGTGCCGGAGACACGTTGGTTAGGAAAGGTTAGGAGGCTTCCTTGGAGGCACTTCGCCCTAAACACGGTAAGGTCAGCCTCCCCGAGCAAGACCTCCCACAGCATGAAAGGCTTACGCTTGACAGCCGGGCGCCGGCCGGGAGGAGGTAGAACGAGGGGAGAGGAAGAGAGGAGCAAGGGGGATCACAGCCATGTGGAAACCACCAAAAAGCTGTCCTCAAACGGAAGCGGCTTCCGTTTATGCGCGCAATTCGTTCCGACTTCCTCTCTATATAATCACTCGCCTGTCCTGGCAGTTTGCCACGGGCTTGCGCGCTTTCCGACAGGCATCTAAACGAGCTCAAAACGCACGTCCGACCTTACACGCACAAACTCGCGATACGTTGGCGTCTCGCCCCGGCCTACCCTGAGCATCCGAGATCGAAAAAAACCAATCTCAGGATCGGTTTTGTGGGGATCGGTTCTGGGGGGGATGGGCATCTTAAAAAACCAATCCCCAACATCAAGAAAAACCAATCCCCAGGATCGGTTTTTAAGCATCAAAAAATCAATCCTCAACATCAAGAGAAACCAATCCCCAGGATCGGTTTTTACAAATCCTGGGGATCGGTTTTTTACAAAGCCCCAAAACCTATACCCCCAAACCTTTAAAGAGAAGATCAGAGGTGTTGATACAACCTATATCTTGAAACTGTTCTTTTTTCTGTTGGCTGGGTCTGCATGGCTCTGTTTCAAGCCCCCAAGCATGGAAATGGGCATGGCTCTCTTTCAAACCTCACAAAAAGTCATTGATCCTCAACTGGTACGTAAGAAGGTACTTTTGACAGAAGGAATCTGTAAGCTTTGTGGCCCTAGTCCCATGGCTGCAGCTATGTGCCAGAGTGGCCATCTGGCCAACCCAGCTTTGATTCCCATAGGTCCAAAAGGACCTTGGGTTTTGCCACTTGGCCAAATGGGCCAAGTGATAGAAGAAGTGGAATTTGGGACTCAGCTGCCACCTCAAGTCATCATCAATGGCTGCTTTCAGCCATACATAATGTTGGAGGCATTTCTTGGCTTTGTTGCAAGCCTCCATGGCCTCCTCATTTGTCAAAAAACATCAGCTCCTGCCAAAATATCATAAAAGCAAGCCAGTGAAGTGAGGGCCTCTGCAATGTGCAGTGCTACTTGTGTTTCCTTGGCTTTGTTCCAAGCCCCTTCCTGTGCCAAAGTGCCTGCTGGGCGCTTGGCTTTATTCCAAGCCACCAGTGCAAGGACAGGCACCAAGTGCCTCAGCGCTGCAGCCTTCCCTTTCAACAATGGCTTTTGCGACCATGGCTTCTCACCATTGGTGAACTGATTGATGGTAATGTTTGTGAACCTTTCTGCAATTTTCAAGATCTTGTAAGCCTCAGAGATCTCTGACCACACTTTAAACATGTGGTGGGGGGCCTCTCTTTTGTTGCCACCCACCAGGTATGACCACATATGAAGGGTTGAGCCACAAATTCTTGCAGCCACACCCAGATCTACTGTGTGCAGCATGTCAATTGCAACCCTGTATTGCTGCACACAACCTGGGATCTTGGTGAGGAACGGATGGCTTGAAGACTGGCTCTGTTTCAAACTCTGGGTGCCAGCAGTTGCCAATTGGTGCTATCTTGAAAACCCCAAGGAGATCGATGTTTCAAGTTCCTGTGGCAATTGCAAAGCCAACAAAAATCAGGCGTGTTCCAATGTGGCATGCCCAGCACAT